TACAGGCACGTGCCACCATGCCCAGCTAATTTTTTGTATTTTTAGTAGAGACGGGGTTTCACCATGTTGACCAGGATGGTCTCGATCTCTTGACCTCGTGATCCACCCACCTCGGCCTCCCAAAGTGCTGGGATTACAGGCTTGAGCCACCGCGCCTGGCAATTTTTGTACTTTCATAGAGACGTGGTTTCACCATGTTGGCCAGGCTGGTCTTACACTCCTGACCTCAGGTGATCCACCCACCTTGGCCTCCCAAAGTGCTGGGATTACAGGTGTGAGCCACCACACCTGGCCTATTTTATTTTTCTAAAGATAGACTACTCTTGTTATGTTGCCAGGCTGGTCTTGAACTTCTGAGCTCAAATGATCCTCCCATGTTGTCCTCCCAAAGTGCTAGAATTACAGTGTTAACCACTGCACCTGTTTTTCTTTTAGAGTTACCATGTTGTACCTAAGTGAGTTTCTGTCCACAGCCTGAGAGCTCTGCACAGCTGGGTGAGGGGATACCGATATGATGATCAGTGGGCTTCTGGGCGTACCCAGGGTTCCGCAGAGACATGGAGCCTCTAGGAGACGCGTGTCTGTGTGTGCTGATAAAGAGATGCATTGCAAGCAGTGGGCTCAGACGACTGTGGGTGGGGAGTCTGTAATCCTCAGGGCTGGCTTACAGACCCCCCCCAACGGGAGCTGATGGAGCAGTCCTCAGGCAGACTTTCTTCTTCCTCCTGGTAAACCCATTTCCCTTTTAAGGCCTTGAGCTGATTCGATGGGGCCACCTGGACCATCGAAGGTCATCTCTACTTGCTTACGGTATCTGGGTTGTGGATGGTAACCATGTCCACAGAGTACCTCCAGGGCACCCCTAGACTGAATGTCATGGAATAAGGACTCCCCAGGGACTGCAGCCTAGCCAGTTGACACAATCCCACACCTCCATCAGCCCCAGCTGGGTCTTGTGGTCACCCTTTGGCCACCTCTTTTTTACCTTCCCGGGGACATTCTCTCAGGGGTCAGAGCTTGGCAGGGGCCTGCTAGCTTGTGCTTGCTGCCAGAGCAGCCCCACAGCGCCCTCTGGTGTCCTACAGCAGTCACTCTGTGCCTTCTGCAGCCACCTGCACCCATGTCCCATCCCCCTAACCTGAGCAGCAGGACAGCCCCTCATCCCCAACCCCCATCCCAGCGAGGCTGTCAGATGACACACTGCAGCCTGGCCATGGCAGAAGTGCATAGTGGTGTCCTTGTATGCTGCGTGCCATGTGCCTTGACTTGGAGCCTAAGCACATGTGCATCGGGGGCCCAACTCACTGAGAGAGAGTTGGGGCTGCTACAGGGTCCCTGCTGGCCTCCTGGGGACCCAGGCAAGCACGAACTCGGGACAGAACTCCTGGTCCCCAGGCCCAGTGATGTGGGGTGAAGCTGCTGCTTCACATTTTTTTCCCTTTAGATGGAGTTTTGCTCTTACTGCCCAGGCTGGAGTGCAACGACACGATCTCGGCTCACTGCAACCACTGCCTCGTGGGTTCAAGTGATTCTTCTGCTTCGGCCGCCTGAGTAGCTGGGATTACAGGCGCGGGCCAGCACACCTGGCCACCTGCTTTACTTTAATCGGTGGGCTGTTAGCTCCAGGGCTCTTGGTCCATGCTGCCAGCAGCCTGCCACCAGAGCCTGCACTGGGCTCGTCTTTGTCGGAGCACACCCTGGAGGTTTGTTCCTTCATGGATCCAGTCAGCCAGCATCACCCATGCTCCTGCAGTTCACTGTCTAGGTCTTGGGGCTAGAGGGATGACTCTTAGGTTGTTGTCAGGTGCACGTGCCGTTTTAGTGTTCAGGGTCCTGTGTGGATGCAGGGACCCATTCCCCGCAGGTCCATGGGACTCGAGCTGGAGACCCTGTGACTTAGGGACCTTGGCCATGCTTCTCCCTCTGTTCATCACCTTCTTTGTCCACCTCGAGGGCATCTGCAGGTTGAACTCGAGGTCAGGAGAACCAGTGTCCTTCCTGCAGCCCAGAATGAGCTCAGTCCCTCACGCGCCCCTCCCTCTCATGTGGGTGCACTGTGGCCAGCCTACGGTGTTGGCCCACATGCTCCTGGGGTGGGAGTCTGATCTCTGCCCAGCTGCCTCCTTGACTGTGCGGCAGGTGCCCTCACAATGGCAGGTGCACCTCTCCCTTCCCCCGCACAGGCAGATTCATCAGAGCCACTTTATGGCATTTAGTGACGAGAAAGCTGGGCCTGCCATGGTGTGTCCTGCCCCAGAGCAGCATGCTCGGTTCCAGGGCATTTGCCTTGTCAATGCTTGTGTCTGGAGCCTCTGCCCTTTCCCAGACACTGAGTGGGGCTGACATGGGGTCTTAGCTGTCCGGGGATTCCTCCTAGGATTTAACCCTAGAAAGGCCAGTAAAAGGCTGGGCAGAGTGGCTCATACCTGTAATCCCAGCACTATGGGAGGTCGAGGAGGGTGGATCACTTGAGGTCATGAGTTCAAGACCAGCCTGGCCAACATGGTGAAATCCTACCTCTACTAAACATACAAAAATTAGGCCGGGCGCGGTGGCTCACGCCTGTAATCCCAGCACTTTGGGAGGCCGAGGTGGGTGGATCACGAGGTCAAGAGATTGAGACCATCCTGGTCAACATGTGAAACCCCGTCTCTACTAAAAATACAAAAAATTAGCTTGGCATGGTGGTGCATGCCTGTAATCCCAGCTACTCAGGAGACAGACAGGTGAATCACTTGAACCCAGGAGGTGGAGGTTGCAGTGAGCCAAGATCATACCACTGCAGTCCAGCCTGGGTGGCAGAAGGAGACTTCATCTCAAAAATAGAAAGAAAGAAAGAAAAAGTGGTTGGTGTTCAGGGATGTTCCAGGTGCACCAAGGCGGGACTTGTATGGCAGTTTCTAGAAGGAGATTTGGCAGGGCTTCTCAGCAGCCTTGCAACAGTGTCTGGGCAGCTAGGCATCGATTCTTCAGGAGTAATTTGTAATAGGTACAAAGATTTAGCCACATGGAGTACATGTTGCTGTGTCGTTTGTGACACGGACAATTTAGAAACAATCTAAAAATGCCTAAATTGGGAGCCATCCATGTGCTGAGGCTGAGCAGTCGGGGACCCTAGGTGGGCACAGCGCGTGGCTCTTCTCCAGCTGGCCATGGTGTGTGTGGCTCCTGGAGTGGAAGCAGATGCTTAAGAAAGTGCCGTTGGCTTGGGCTGGGCACAGTGGCTTAGGCCTGTAATCCCAGCACTTTGGGAGGCTGAGGCAGGTGGATCACAAGGTCAGGAGTTCGAGACAAGCTTGGCCAACATGGTGAAACCCTTGTCTACTAAGGATACAAAAAATTGGCCCGGTCTGGTGGTGCGTAGCTGTAATTCCAGCTACTGGGCAGCCTGAGGCAGGAGAATCTCTGGAGTTGGCCGAGATCTTGCCATTGCACTCCACCCTGGGCGACGGGGCAAGACTCCGTCTCAAAAAAACAAACAAAAAAGCGCCCTTGGCTTGACACTGAGGAGGTGAGGCTCCCGCTGGGCCAAAGGGGCTGCTTCCCTCCTGGAAGTTGTATTTGACCACTTGGTCATGACTCTCTTTACAAAGAACAACAGATTTTATTCTGAGAGTTTGGTGGGAAATAAAAATAATGTAGAAAACATTATTTCTGGCCTGAAAACCTTCCAGGGCAGAGAGAACGTGGTCAGTCCATTATTTGGGCTCCTGTGTCTGTTGTATGGGTAGTGCCTGAGGCCACCCACCTCATGTTCTTATTTCTGTTTTTGTTTTAGAGATGCTCTGTCGCCTAGGCTGGAGTGCCGTGGTGCAGTCATGGCTCATTGCAGGCATGACCTCCTGGGCTCAAGCCTCCCGAGTAGCTGGGACTACAGGCATGCACCACCATACCCAGCTAATTTATTTTTATTTTTTTTAGAGACAGGGCCTCACTATGTTGCCCAGGCTGGTCTTGAACTTCTGGGCTTAAGCGATCTGCCTGCCTTGGCCTCCCAAAATGTTGGGATTCCAGGCGTGAACCCCTGCGCCCCATCCTTATCTTTTTTCTAAACTACCCAGAAGAGCCAGCGTTTTTCCTCGTTTTTCTCAACTATTTTGCTCTGCACCCCTGACCCCAACTTAATATGTCTCGTCAGAACCTTCCAGCTCCCTACCCACACTGTAAAAGCGGCCCTGCAGATTTTAGGGGGTCGGGTGGGGGGTGCAGCAGGCCCCAATTTGGGATGGATTTCAAAGATAAGAGATGAACAGACTGTGGACTCTGGCAGGGTCTCCAGCTTCCCTGGCCGGCTCATTCTGGGTCACCATGTCACCTGTACACCTGGCCACCGCAGAGCCTCAGAAACCTGAGGTTCCTTCATCCCAGCAGCGTGTTTCCAGTTACTCACATGAATGAGAATAAAATTCAGGGCCAGGCGCGGTGGCTCACGCCTGTAATCCCAGCACCTTGGGAGGCCGGGGCGGGTGGATCACGAGGTCAAGAGATCGAGACTATCCTGGTGAAACCCCGTCTCTACTAAATGTAAAAGAGTAGCCAGGTGTGGTGGCATGTGCTGGTAGTCCTAGCTGCCCGGGAGGCTGAGGTGGGAGAATTGCTTGAACCCAGGAGGCAGAGGTTGCGTTGAGCTGAGATCGCGTCTCTGCACTCCAGGCTGGCGACGGAGCAAGACTCTGTCTCAAAGAAAAAAAAGTGATATCTGGGAAGGGAGGTGCAGACAGGACAGGGTGGCACATGTATGTTTTGGGTGAAAAATACCTCATGGTGTTGGAGCAGGACAGGTCTGGATGGCCAGGGTTATCCGCATGGTTCTGGCAGAGGCTTTGGGGTGTGTTGTTGTGTTTGTGTGGGTTGTTTGTGTGTGTGGTAATGTGTGTGTGTGTGCGGTTGCATTTGTGTGTGTGGGTTGTGTTGGTGTGTGGGGGTTGTGGTGTGTGGGGGTTGTGTTTGTGTGGCTGTGTGTGTGGTTGTGTGTGCATTGTGTTTGTGTAGCTGTGTGGGTTGTATATGGCTGTGTGTGTGTGGGTTGTGTTTGGTTGTGTGTAGTGGTTTGTGTGCATGTGGCTGTGGGGGATGTGCATATGTGGGTTGTGTGTACGGGTTGTGTTTGTGTGGAGGGGTTTAGTGTATGGGGGTTGTGTTTGTGTGTGGAGGGGTTGTGCGGGGGAGGTTATGTGTGTGGTGCTTTGCGGGGTATTGTGTGTGTGTGTGTGGGGGGGTTGTTTGGTTGTGTGTGAGTTCGTGTGTGTAAGTTTGTCTCTGGTTGTGTGGGGGGATTGTGTGTGTGGTTATGGGGGGTTGTGTGTGGAGGGGCTTGTGTGTGTGGCTATGTGTATGAGGGGATTATATTTGTGCGTGGATGGGGGTGTGTGTGTGTTTTCCTGCCTGAGGGTGAATCATCGGAGGCCATATGTGTGTGATTTCTCCAATGCTGAGTGCAGACCGTTTCTGCCTTCCCTGACCCTGATAGAAATGTGTGTTTGTGTTCAGGTGGGGACTGACTGGCATGGTGGGCCTGCAGTGGGCTTCAGCCTTGCCCTCCACCAGCACGCTGGTTGAGCCTGGACTCCTCAGCTTGCGTTTCTGTATCAGCATGGCAAGGACAAGGGCCCCTGCCCTAGGGGGACACGTTTGAGTCGATAGGACGGCTTTTCTCCCAGAGCAGTGTTCAGCCTGGGGGAGGGGCAGGATGGCTCTGGAGAAGGGTCTGCAGGCCGGGCGCAGGGACTGGCAGGTGCAGGGAATGCCTGGAATCCCAGGCCAGACTCTTCCTGCCCGAGTGGCCGAACCCGGAGCTGTTCTTGTCTTGGGAGCAGGGACTGGCACTGGGCTGGTGCAGCCATGGCTTCCCTTGTGGGTCCAAACACTACCCCAGTGGACAAGTCTCACCCAAGGCCACATGGCAGGAGCTGAGGAGTGGGGGGACTCTACGTGCCCGGTGGCTCAGGAACCCTGTCCTCTGTCTCACAGGTGAGGCACAGGCGGGGCGAGGAGGCAGGAGATTGAGCCGCAGTCTCTCCTGTGCTCATGATGTCACCGAATCGGAGACAGGGTTTGGGTGCCAAGGGGGTGCTGCAGCCAGGGAACAAGGCCTGAGGGCTCCCCCCATGTCGTCCCCTCCTTGTTGACCATCTGACGCCCTTCATTTGCCAGTCTAGCTGTGAGGACCTTGTGCCGAAGCCCAGGCATTAGTTTTAGGAAGGGCCACCTCTGTTGACAGAGGGTCTGGGGTCAGCCTGGACTGCAATGGCCTCTGATGCAATGCTGCCCTGCACTGAGCCTGGCCAGGACCAGCCCAGTCCGCCCACCAGCCCACTTGCCCCCAGCTGTCCATCCTCCCAGGCAGGGCTGGAGCTTTGCTTAGCTGGACTGCAGGGGCATACCGAAGTCAGGCTGGTGTGACCAGTGCCTCTGATCTGTGAGGTCCCCAGGACACAAGCCTACCTCATTCACAGCTGCAGCCAATGGAGATTCACATGGAGTTCATGTCCTTTTTAGGGGGGCTGTTGATAAGGAGGGTCACGAGTGCCAGAGTTGTGGGTGGCTGCCCATGCCCTTCTTGTTGCATTTTACCTTATAGGGTATCCCAGGCCAGGTCTGTCCATGTGGTGGTGGGAAAGTGAGTCTTGGTCCAGCCAAGGCACTTTCCAGGGGTCACATGATTGGGATGGGGGCCCTGTATCCAGGCAGGTGCTGAGCACTGTCCTCCTCAGATAGCAGAGCTGTTGCTGCTGAAAACAGCCCCCTGGCCCCATGCCCACCCACAGAGGTGCCTGAGTCCCCTCTTCGCACAGTGTGTGTTGCTGAGCACTGGCCACCCATTCCTGTCACTGGCAGGAGAGCAGGGGTGTGTTTTAGGTGAAGGGGCCAGCACACTCCCGTTGTGAGGGTTGCACTGTGGGGACTTGTGCAGGAGATGCAGGCCGGGGCCGTCCTGTGGTTGACTCCATGCCGAGGACCTCCCGGTGACACCCCCTCCCCCTCCACACAGCACATCTCCATCCCCCAGCCTGACTGCCCCGAGGAGGCACGGACGTTCTCCTTCTACCTCTCCAACATCGGCCGCGACAGCCCCCAGGGCAGCTTCGACTGCATCCAGCAGTATGTCTCCAGGTGAGGCACCGCCCCACCCCAGAGCACCCCACCGGCTCTTGAGGTCACCCTGCCACCTCTGGCCCCGGGTGGAGATGTGCCCCATTGAAACCGTGTTGCCTGAGACGGTGCTGACAGAACCTGTTTTCTAGGCCAGGTGGCGGGCTGGGGGCTCCGGCCCTCAACGGAGCCTCCCTGCATCGTCCCAGCTGCTGACCCCGGCTCCTGGCCTTGTCTTACAGTCATGGGGACATCCACCTGGACTGCCTGGGCAGCATCCAGGACAAGATCACGGTGTGCGCCACTGACGAATCCTACCAGAAGGCGCGGCAGAGCATGGCCCAGGCAGAGGAGGAGACACGGAGCCGCAGTGCTATTGTCATCAAGCCTGGAGGCCGCTACCTGGGTAAGCAGCGGGGCTGGCAGGGCGGCTGGGCAGCTGCCAGGGTCAGGAGGCGTTTGGGGCCTGTCCAAGCTGGGCACTGGCTGTGCTCTGCACAGAAATCAACCTAGGAGTCTGACCAGCCAGCTCCTCGGCTGGCCCTTCCTTACACTCTGAATGACGTGTCACTTCTGCCATAGGTTGACTCCCTGAATCCCCTCTCCCCATTACTCAGTTAAGTAGCTTGGACTGTGTGTTGCCCCATCCCAAAGATGGATGTGTGGAATCCCACTGGGAGGGGAGAAACGGATTGGGGTATCTGGTGACCTTGGTCTGGAGAGACTGTCATCCTTCGCCGCTCACGGAAAGGCCGTGTGGGGGCAGAGGGAAAGCTTTGCCTTTGGCCCTCTGAAGTTTCGCCTAAAACGTCAACAACTATCAGAGAATAGACAGATGAATAAGAGAATAGGCAGACACGTTTCGTTTCTGGGACCTGTCTGTCCTCCCCAAGGCCACCACAGCCGGCAACAGGCAGGAAATGAGCCTAACAGGCCCTGTTGCCAGTGACCCAGCACTGTGGGAAGGCTCTGGCCGCTCAGCATCAACTTGGAAACGTCTCAGCAAAGTTGAGAAACCAACAGGCCTTGACAGTAGGAAGAAAAGTACTGTTTGTTTACAGAGCCGCAGTAAACTGTGGTCCCGCCTCTTAGACCAGACAGAGCTTCAGGAGTCATGGGAGTTCATTCTGGCGGGAGTAGGGTACCAGGCTTCAGGGAGGAGGGAGATGGTTCAGAGCAGACGACAGCCTTGATGGCTTTTGAGTTTTATCTTTAAGAAAAGGTGGGGGGATTTTAATTCCTTTCGCTCCTCCTTCCAAAGAAAGTATGTGATTTCTCTTTGCTGGGCAGAGGGATTCCCTCTGAATGAAACTGCAGATGTGGGTGCAGAGGTTGGTCCTCCTGGTCAACACTGGGCCCAGGTGGACGTTGCATGGCCAGGGAGTCCGGTCCATGATGCTGAGGCACTGGGCTGTGAGCCCCAAGCACAGGGCTGCTGTGGGGACAGCAGAAGAGATAGCTGTACACATGTTTTGTTTTTTGTTTTTTTCTTTTTTTAAAGACAGGACCTTTCTCTCTCACTCAGGCTGGAGTGCAGTGACGCAATCATAGCTTGCTGCAGCCTCAAACTACTGGGCTCAAGTGACCCTACCTCAGCCTCCAGAGTAGCTGGGACCACAGGTGTGTGCCACCACCCGTGGCTAACTTTTAGATTTTTTGTGTAGACAGTGTCTTGCTATGTTGCCTAGGCTGGTCTCCGACTCTTGGGTTCAGATGATCCTCTCGACTAGGTCTCGCATAGTGCCGGGATGACAGGCCTGAGTCAGCACACCTGGCCCTATACACATACCTGTTAATAAGTCTGTGGGTCCTTGAGATAGAAACTTGGTGAGAAATGTGTCTTAGCACACCACTTTGGGTACAGTGAGGGGTTTCAAAACTGTTTACGTTCTGGTGGGGCCATTGTTAAAATGTGAATGTGCATGTCCCTCTGTCTCACAGCTACCCCAATAGGCTGCTCCTCCTCCCTGTTGATCAGTCTGGCCCTGTAGGGGTGAGTCCGGCCCCGCCGTCAGGACCCCATTGAACAGACCCCAGAGGCGTGAGCGCTGGCCCTGGGCATTCTGAAAGCATGGCTTTCTGGGTTAATTTGACAGATCAGATTTTGAGGGATAAGATCAGAGGGACGGCGTTACGAAGAGCTTTTTTGGGGAAGGATTTGAGACATTGTTGAGCTTGCTTGGCCGACCCTGTTCCTGAGGATGCCAGGGCATCGTTCGGGACAGAGCAGGGGAGCAGCGTGCTGGACCCTGCCCACGTCTCTGTTTGCATCGGAGCCAGAGGGGAACCTGCTCTCCCCAGGGCTCTGGGCACAGCCATGCCTGCCAGAGGAGCTCTTGATCAGGCCTAAGGCTGGGGTACCACTTGCACCACAGGGTCTCCAGAGCAGCTGCTGAAAGTGACCCTGTCACCTTTTATCCCACTTAAAAAAAACAAAAATGGCAGCCCTGTGGGGCCAGCATATGACTCCGAAGTGCAGGCTTGGGAGTGACTGCCTCTTGCAGTTCAGGGACCCCCCAGTTTAACATCAGAAGGGTTTACAAACAGCCCCCACTTCAGGCTGGGCGGGGTGGCTGTGGCCTATAATCCTAGCACTTTGGGAGGCTGAGGCGGGAGGGTCGTCTGATCCCATGAGTTTGCGACCAGCCTGGGCAGCATAGTGAGACCCCATCTCTACAAATAAATTTAAAAAAATTAGCCAGGCATAGTGGTGACCACCTGTAGTCCCAGCTACTCCAGAGGCTCAGGTGGGAGGATTGTGGAGCCCAGGAGTTTGAGGCTGCAGGAAGCCATGATTGTGCCACTGCACTTCAGCCTGGTAACAGCGCAGGATCCTGTCTCAAAAACAAAACAACCCCGCACCACACACACACTGCTCACCAGAGTGATCAGCTGTTTTTGCTGTCCAGGATTTAGGTCGTCTGTGATGAAGTCAGTTAGGGCTCTGACACAGTTCTACTGCCTGTACCTCCCACTCCTGAGGCTGGGTGCCCTGCAAGGTGCCAGCTGTGGGCAGCAGGTGGCGCTCTTGACCGCCCAGGGTGCCCAAGGAGCAAGCAGGGCTTTGCTGTGGCTGATGTGGTGTCTGATGCCAGCACTCTCTGTAGTCTCCAACCTTTGGGCACCCACCCAGTGACACTGGCCATGGGGCATGGCCATGCCCTCCCTGTTCCCTAATAGAGAACTGTTCTGTGTTTTGCCTTGTTGCAGGTAAGAAGGTTCAGTTTCGGAAACCAGCCCCAGGCGCAACAGACGCTGTGCCCTCCCGGAAGCGGGCAACCCCCATCAACTTGGCGAGTGCCATCAGGAAGAGTGGTACCAGTGTCATGAGCGGGGGCAGCGGGGTGTCCCAGAGGCCCTTCCGTGACCGAGTGCTGCACCTCTTGGCACTAAGGCCCTACCGCAAGGCCGAGCTGTTGCTGCGGCTGCAGAAGGATGGCCTGACGCAGGCGGACAAGGATGCGCTGGATGGCCTCCTCCAGCAGGTATGCGCCACCCTGATGTTGAGTCTTTACCGGCCATCTCGTGCGGATGGTCTCGTGCAGGTGGGATGGGCCAGAGCATGGAGGCGGGGATTGGGGCTGGCAGGGAAGAGCCCTTCCTGGGGTCTCTCTCAGGTTCTGAACCTGCCTCAGACCTAGGGCCTCCTGCATGAGAACATGCTTAGGGGGGCCATGGATGTGTCTCTGGGCATGGCCCTGACTGTCCTGGGTTGCGAGGTGGGCTCAGCATGGAGCCCAGGCCCTCTCCCTCCACCATCTGCTGACATGTGGGCAGTGGGGCCTGGCACAGTGCATCCAAGCTTTGGCTATAGACGATTTGTAGACTCAAGGCCTGGGGGAGGAACCCACACAAGTCAGGCAGAGCCTGGTGGGCCTCAGTATGAATCAGCTGCCTGCTGCTCTCCAGCTGTGCCTCTGGGCGAGGGCCTTCATGTCTCGAACCCTCAGGCTTCTGTCTGTGACCTGCAGCATGCCTACCTGGGGTTGGGGGCTAGGCCAGCCAGAATGTGGTGCTGGCAGGTGGAGCCTGCTGTTGAGGAACACCCTGGGCATTGCAATGAACAAGTGTGATGGCCCTGGCTGCCTTCTACCGCCCCTCACCCGTGGAGGCTCTTGAGGCCCCACCCTGGCTTCCTGGGGCTCCTGGGAAGGGGAACAACTTGTACTGGCTTCAGAACATCAGCCAGGCTGTGCAGATGCAGCCTTGAGGTGAACTGGGGATGGGTCTCCTCAGATTGCTGCTGTGGTCGAGAAGGAGGCACGGCTGAGCCTCTTGCACCTTCCAGGGTGATGGAACAGGGATGTTGGGAACTCATGTGGTGCCTGCAGCAGAAAGCACATGCTGTGATGTGCCGGGATAGCGGCTGGAAGAACATTCTTCTGTGTTTACGGAGCTCCTCACAGGCATCGTGCTCGGGTGTGCAGCTGGTGGGACCATGCTGTACATCCTTTGGGAGGATGTCGGGATATCAGCCTGGCCCTTGTCCACCTCCATCCTGCTCCTGAGCCAGGGCCAGTGTGGTGCCAGCAGGGGTGGCTGAAGGGAGCTTGATGCAGTTATCAGAGGTGGGACCGGCACTGGCCTGGCCAGGAGACGCCTGTGCTAGGGCCTGGCTTCTCCAGGTGACTTTGGTTCAGCATTTCCTGGGAGCAGGCCTGGCCAGCATCTGCGGGCAGTGTCCCTTCCCATGCCACTGACTTCCCTTGGACAGCTTCTCTGCTTGCTTCTATATTCATTATGCAGCTGCTTCTCCCCAGCAGCTACGGGGATCAGCCGGACACTGTTGGCTAGCAGAGGGGGATGTGCCTCACTCAGGCTGGTTATTTCCAGCCCCCACCAGGCCTGCAGACACATTGAGGAACGGCAGTGACAAAATTGTACCCCTCAAAGGTGCCTGGCCCTCCCTCTGTGGAAAAATCTACAGCAGAGATGGAAAGTGTCCACCTCTAGGACTGGCTGGGCCTCAGGGAAACCCGCAGGCCTTTCGTACGAGGGTAGGGTTGTTGACAGGCGGGTGATGTTTAGCAAAGCCTGTCAAGAGCCATAAAAATACTCAGCGTTTGACTTACTAATCTAGCTTCTGGGAATCCCGCCGAAGAAAACTGTTGCCTACGTGAAAAAACCTGCACACAGTAATGTCTGTTTATTCTACAGAGAAACTTGCAGCAGTTTGTAGGTGGAATAGTACTCACCCGTTAAAAATGCTCCCCATGAAATATGCTGTGACACAGAGCTGTGTTGGGTACAGCAAACGGTGGCTGCCGCGTCTGCAGCAAGATGGAGACCAGAGCGCCCCACAGGCCAGCACACAGCACCCATTCAGGGCAGTGACCTGGAGCTTCCTCAGGTCCCTCTAAGGCGGATGGTCTGAATCCATCTCTGTTAGCAGCCTGGGAGATGAACTTAGCTTTTGTGAACCAGCGACAGCAAGGCAGGCTGGTTATAAGGAAGGTGGGCTCAGGCCTGGCCCCGGAGGTACCCCTCACTCAGCATCCCCAGCCATGGTCAACTCTGCCCCAGGAGTTGTGATCGAAATGAAGTGGAGCTGGCTCATGCCTGTTTCCAGCACTTTGGGAAGCTAATTGGGAGGATCCTTGAGGCCAGGAGTTTGAGACCAGCCAGGCAAAATACTGAGACCCTATGTCTACAAAAAGTAAAATTAGCTGGGTGTGACAGTGCATGCTTGTAGCCCAGCTACTTGGGAGACTAAGGTGAGAAGATCGCTTGAGCCCAGGAGGTTTCGGCTACAGTGAGCCTTGATCACACCACTGCACTCCAGCCTGGAAGAAACAGGAGCCAGGTGTGGTGGCTGGAATCCCGGCACATTGGGAGGCCAAGGTCAGAGGATCGCTTGAGCCCAGGGGCTTGAGAGAAGCCTGGACAACAGAGCGATACCCATCTTACAAAAAAACAAAATTAACTGGAGTATGCTGATGTACGCCTGTGGTCCCACTACTTTTGAGGCTGAGGCGGGAGGATGGCTTTAGGTATAGGGTGTAGTGAGCCAAGATCTTGTATCAAGAAAAGAAAAGAGAAACAGGGTAGGGGGGCCAGGGGGCAGGTGATGGGGTCTCAGGACTGCAGGGAGTAGCCCTCCCCTTTTTGGAGCCAGCCTGGCCCTCGCACCTGTAAGACAGTTGAGTCAGGACCTGGCTCCATGACCCTCAGGGTCCCTTCTGCACCCTGAGGACTGTGTGCGGGGGAGCTGGGGGTGGGAGGCGGCACGGGTCAGTGGTGGGGCGTCCTCTTTCCTCTCCTCTGTCTGAGTCTGTCTCCTGCTGTCTCTGCACACCCTCCCGACCCTGCCATCTGATCTTTTTTCTCTAGTCCTCCGCCACTCTCAGTCTTCCCACAAAGTGATGGCTGGCTGTCTTGCAGGTGGCCAACATGAGTGCTAAGGACGGCACGTGCACGCTGCAGGACTGCATGTACAAGGATGTGCAGAAGGACTGGCCCGGCTACTCAGAGGGGGACCAGCAGCTGCTGAAGCGGGTGCTTGTCCGGTAATGCCACCTCCCATCCCCCAGCATGTCCCCAGCTCCCTGAAGGCGGACAGAGCTTACCCAGAGGATGCTGGGGTGGTCTTGTGTGGTCCTGAAGGCGGAAGGTCCTGGGAACAGGATGGAAGGGTCCAAGTAGGCCTCTGGCCGTCCTCTCTACGGCCCACGTGGTGGGGGTGGTGCCTCCCGTGGTTGGGGGAAGGCCACCCCCACAGAGTGGGATGGAGGCATGGGTCACTGGCCCCAACCACAGAATCTTCAGACAAAAGGCCTCAGTCTGCCAGGACCCTCCTCAGCTGTCCCCAGCTTCCCCTCATGCCTCCCTCCACAACCTGGCCATCCCCACAGGGCCTCGGAAGTTCACTGACTTTTTGAGAAGAGTCTCAAGAACCTGAAGTAGAGAAATAAGGCAAACCAACACTCCGGGCAGGCGTCATTAAGCAGCGTTAATTAAATGCATCCCCTCAGGCTAATTGGAACCCTAGGGTCAGGAGTGGCAGCAGCTGGGGGAGCAGTGGTTAAGGAGGCAGGGGAGCAGTGGTTAAGGAGGCAGATGGCTAACGATTTCCTTCTCTACCGATGTGGCCTGGGGAGTGCAGGCTGTGAAGCAGGCCAGTCTGCTAATTAGTCCATAAGTGATTTCTCAGGGACTCGGAGGTTATTTATGATTTGTGATTGTTTTTTTTTTGGAAGTTCAGCTGTTTAAAGCAGTAATTGCCTCTGGAAAGCAGAGTGAAGGTGGAGGTCCACTCCATTCCCCTGAGGGGTAGTGCCTGCCTGTCTGCCCCGGAAGTGGAGGTCAGGGGCCTGTGGGGCACTTCCCTGGCTGGTGGGAGGCTGCCTGAGGGCACAGTCTTGGCAGAAGACCCGCCCCCATCCTCGAACCTGTGTCCTCTCCCTTGGTCCCCTCCCTGGGTTCCACAGATCCTTAGGGCACTGGAAGGAGAACTGCTCAGAGCTAGTGGAATGAGGAGAAGCCTGGACTACATCTCTGGGGGTGTCGGGGAGTTCCCCTGGGATGCAGGCTCCAGAGCCACCTCCAGCTCCCCTGATTCGAGGCTCATGTTCCATCTGCGGAGTGAGCTGCTGGGCTCATGCCAGCTCCTTGGCACTTGGCTTTCACTCTGGGCCGGCATTGGGAGCGGCATTGTCTTCCCAAGCTTCAACTGGCCTGCAGGGGTAGGGTTGGTGTCCCTGGGCCATAACCACATAGAAGGTGACCTGCAGCACTCCTCTGCACAGCTGTTTCTTTTCTTATTTAGCACCCCACCCCCAAGAAAGCCCCATTTATAGCAGTTTTGACACCAGGGCCTCACATATATCAAAGCAGGGCCTTGAGGTGTTTTACCAGCAGGGCTCGCCTGGTGCAGACCATGAGACAGACGGGGGTGTGGGGGCCCAAGTTACTGCAAGAGCCTCCCCAGCTGAGCTTGCACCATGTGTAGCTCGGGGTGGTTTCTCTGCTCATGTTATCTTTGTTCTTCATGTCCAATCCCAAGCTGTCCTTGGTGTCCAAATCACCTCTCATCGCTATCCATGGGCCAGGGGTCCTGCAGGTCCCCCCGGGAGTTCCTGATTCCTCTGCCTAAGCCACACACTGCCTAGTGTCCTCACCTCCCGCCTGAGCCACTCCCCTCATGTGATCCCCATGCCAGAGTCTGCACCCTGCTTCCTGCTCCTCCCTGGTGCCGTGGGAGCCCAGCTCTGGAGCACCTCTCTGAGGACAGTGCTCTGGGAGGACTGCTGGCCACGTCTTCATGCCCAGACGGTGGTCCTGCTGAGCCAGTGGTTGATCATGTCTAGACTTGCAGAGTCCAAGGTGCTTTCCCTCCACGCCCAAGGTCAGAGGCCTCCCACCCCAACCCTGGGATGGTATCACGGACCTCACAGGCTGAAAACTTGCCTCATCCATCCGTCTTTCTGTCCCGCGTGCGGGAGTGGAAAGGCCTGACTACCCTACTGCATGCCACCTCAAACTGCCCTTGGTGGGCTGTTGGAGTTCATCCTTCTCTTCCTGCTTTTCATCTCTTGCTCTTTATTATCCTTTTGGGAGAGTTCTCTGACATTTCTCATCCCGTCTCTATTATTATTTGTAGTTTCTTTTTTGAGACAGAGTGTTGCTCTGATGCCCAAGCATTGAGACAGGGTTTCACCATATTGGCCAGGCTGGTCTTGAACTCCTGACCTAAAGTGATCTGGCTGCTTCAGTCTCCCAAAGCGCTGGGATTACAGGTGTGAGCCACCATGCCCGGCTCAGGATGTTATTTTTAACCTACTCTATAGATCCTTAAAAAAAAAAACAGCTTTATTCAGATACAGTTCATGTAACAGAAGTCACTCATTTAAAGTGAGTAACTCTGTGGCATTTTGTACATTCATAGCAGCCACCACCTCTGTCTAGTTCCAGAACATTCTCATTTTCCCAAAAGGAAACCCTGTCCCCATCAGCAGTCGCTCTCCATTCCCTCCCACAACCCCAGCCCCTGGTAACCACTAATCTGCTTTCTGTCTCTATGGATTTGCCTGTGGTGGACATTTCAGATCAATGGAATTGTAACTGTGTGGCTGACATGTAATCCGCGGAAACTTGTGGCTGTAAAGAATGTTGAACCAGGACCGGGTGCAGTGGCTCATGCCTGTAATCTCAGCACTTTGGGAGGCTTAGGTGGGAGGATCGCTTGAGCCCAGGAGTTCTTGACAAGCCTGGGCAACATAGTGAGATCCTCATGTCTACAAAAAATGAAAAAATTAGCCAGGGATGGTGATGTGCTCTTGTGATCCCAGCTACTCTAGAGGCTGAGGTGGGAGGATCCCTTGAGCACAGGGCGTCCAGGCAGCAGCGAGCTGTGACTGTGCCACTGCACTCCAGCCTGGGCCATACAGCAAGACCTGTCTCAAAACAAGCCCCAACAAACAAAAAGATTTTGAGCCATATCAACATTATGCTTACCGTTTTTCACTCAGCATTGTATATTCGAGGTTCATCCATGTAACCTGTCAGTGCTTCCTTTTCATGGCTGACTCATATCCCAGTGTGTGTACAGACACATGCTGTCATCCATGCACCTGCTGGGGGCCATTTGGGAGGTTTCCACCCTTTGCCAACTGTGACTAGAGCTGCTGTGCACATGCGTGGACAAGGGTGTGTGTGGACAAGGGTTTCCCCTTCTCTTGAGCACTTTCCAGGCAGTGGCAGTCAAGGTCTAATGGTTATTTTGAACTCTGTTCAACTGCAGCCACATAGTCAGCTGGGTTGGGTGGATGAGAGAGGAAATTCTGCAGGCTTTGAAATCTGCCCCCCACTGTGCATCTGTGAAGGGGGCTGCAGGGGATCTGAGATTAGTCAGGTCATGCCGTGCCTCAGCCTCCCAACGTGCTGGAATTACAGGTGTGTACCACCGCCTGGCTTCGGAACCCTTTTCTGCTGCTGTGCACCATCTCACAGTCCCACCAACAGCACACGTGGGTTCCAGTTTCTCTACGTCATCCCAACACTTGCTATTTTCTGGTTGTTTTTTTGTTTTTGTTTTTGTTTTTGTTTTTTTTTTGAGATGGAGTCTTGCCCTGTCACCCAGGCTGGAGTGCCATGGTGTGATCTTGGCTCACTATAGTCTCTGCCTCGCAGGTTCAAGCAATTCTCCTGTCTTAGCCTCCCCAAGTAGCTGGCATTACAACTGCCCACCACCACACCTGGCTAATTTGTTGTTGTTGTTGTTGTTTTGTTTTTTTTTTTAGCAGAGACAGGATTTCGCCATTTTGGGCCAGGCTGGCCTTGGACTCCTGACCTCAGGTGATTCACCCGCCTTGGCCTCCCAAAGTTCTGGGATTACAGGCATGAGCCACCACACCCAGCCTATTTTCTGTTTTTTATTCCAGCCATCCTTCAGTGTGTGTGAAGTGGTATCTTCTTGTTTGTTTTTTGTTTGGTGGGTTTGTTTGTTACTGCTCCTTGCAGGGCAGAGCCAACTCATAGGTAGTATGCCCAGAGTAGCCGGTGTCTTGTTCTGATTTGCATTTCCCTGAAGACGCATGGCACGGAGCCATCTTTTCATTTGCATACTGGCCACTTGTATAGCTGCTTTGAAGAAACATCTACTTAAATGTGTTGTTTTTCCAAGGACACTAAAACTGGTGTTTTTGTTAATTATTTTATTTTATTTTATTTATTTGAGACTGTCTTGAAGAAAAAAGATGCCGCCCAGGCTGGAGTGCAGTGGCACAATCTTGGCTCACTGCAACCTCCGCCTCCCAGGTTCAAGTGATTCTCCTGCCAAGTAGCTGAGGTTACAGGCGCCCACCACCATACCTGGCTAATTTTTTTTTTGTACTTTTAGGAGAGATGAGGTTTCATCATGTTGGTCAGGCTGGTCTCGAATTCCTGACCTTGGGTGATCAGCCCGCCTCTGCCTCCCAAAGTGCTGGGATTATAGGCATGAGCCATTGCGCCCGGCCTGTTGATTTATTTTTTAATGTTTTCATCTCCTTGTGGAGTCTCTCTTTTCAAATGTATTTTCCTGTTCTGTTTTGAGGTGTGACGTTTGTTGCCCGGAAGTGGCAGTGCAGCCCTTGGGGACACTCCTACACAGCTTGGGGCCTCTGAATCCCCGATATGGCCTAGTCCTGGGCCCTGCTGCTTCTCCTGAGGCCACACATCTGGCCATCCTGTCATCCAGCTGTGGCCCAGGTAGCTTCCCAGCTGCCTGGAGGAGTGGCCCAAGCCTCTTTGCTACCTGACAGCCCTGGGCTTACTGCCCTGCAGCCCCACCAGCAGTGATGACGACCTGGAACAGGACTGTGGGGGTTGGCCTGGCAGCAGCCTGTCATCCCCTGAGGTCACAGTGCCTCTTGCTCTGGGCCTTGGATTCTCTGGATCCTGCGACAGTCACCACTCATGCTTCTGCCACACTTTCCAGTGTCCTCATTCGTCCTCTTGTTTCTGCTTTGCCTCTTCAGTGGACACAAATGCCTGTCCTTAGTTTTCTGTCTTTAACTGGGAGCTCTGTTTATATTCACATGGCTCTCCTCTTAGGCCACCAGGGAGGCGACAGCTACAGTGGTCTGCAGCTGAGCCCATCAGTCAGGGAGATGGTCTCTGAATGTCACTGGCTGGCAGAATCACTATAGCTCTGGGCTTCAGCCTCCCTGAGGGGCCTGGAGGGGCTCTAGGCTCCCTCGAACGCACAGCTGCTGGGAGAGTCAGAGAGGATACCCTTAAGCTGCAGAGTTGCTGGTGGGGCGGAGGGGTTCGCCCAGATCACACGAGCGGCAGAAGGGGCATGCACTGGGGTGTTTCTTCCCTTCTCCAGCTACATCACCTGGTCAAGCTGGTGGCCACTTGACCGTCCTCCAGATCCTACTGTGACCTGGGCTCCCAGGAAGCCTGTCTCATCCTAGACCAGGCTCTCCATTCTCTTCTGCATTTTGGACAGTTTCTGCAGTGAGCGTTCTTAGCAGGATGAACAGCTGTCTTTATTTATTTATTTTAAAAAGATGAGGTTTCACCATGTTGGTCAGGCTGGTCTTGAACTCCCGATCTCAGGTGATCCACCCGCCTTGGCCTCCAAAGTGCTTGGATTACAGGCGTGAGCCATCACGCCCGGCCTGAACAGCTGTCTTTAAAAGCACGGGCCAGCACCCCAGCATGTGTCCCTGGTCTCCCCGGTAGCAGGCACCTACACAAAGTGGCTCTCCTCTGGGCACAGGGGGATAGTGAGTGGGGAAGTGGGTGAAGCCGGGGACAGGATGGGCTCAGACCCAGGTTCCTGTGACTCCCTTGGCCCTGCTCTGGATTTGGGAGTAGGGGGGTCCCCTCCTTGAGGCATCTCCACCGGGGCCGCATGTGGATACACGCCTGGGACTTCTAGGCCTCCTCAGTACCGTCTGACCTAGCCCTGCCTCTCCTTCGCAGGAAGCTGTGCCAGCCACAGAGCACCGGCAGCCTCCTTGGAGATGCTGCTGCCTCCAGCCCCCCAGGCGAGCGTGGGCGCTCTGCCTCGCCCCCGCAGGTAAATGGGGTGGGCCTGGGGTAACTGTCCTGAGCACCTGCAGAGTACCCAGTGCTTCGTCAGTCACCCTTGTCACCTTCCTCACGAGCTCCTTGGAACATGAGCTGCTCTGAGCTGAGCTGCCTGTCTCCACCTGGGGTTCAAGGGGGAAGCTGTCGGATTGGGGCTGGGGGCAGATTACTGCCAGTATGGCCACGGCACCCAGTTCACGATGTGGAACCTGGGATGGGGGCAGCTCTCAGATGTGGGGTCTCTCGGGCCTCCTGTCCCTGCGTCGCAGCTGTCGCTGGGGAAGCATGCTGAACACAGCAGTGCTTTAGACCAGTCCCCAGGGGTGGCCTGCACAGGCTGAGCCCTGCCCTCCCCCGCATTGGCTCCAGCAGGCCGAAGGGCTCAGTTTGAGGGCACCCTGAGCAGCACCAAGGACCTGGCTTGGTGCCCTGGCGCCCCCGTGTGGCCGGTCTGGGCCTTGCAGGCAGCGCTGGATTTTTTTGGCTGGGCCATGGGATTGCCTGTTGCTGCCTAGCCGCTCTGTGCTCCCCTCTAAAATGGTCTCTGCTCCTCCCCAGAAACGGCCTCAGCCTCCTGATTTCATCGACCCTCTAGCCAACAAGAAACCCCGGATATCACACTTCACTCAGAGAGCTCAGCCCACTGTCAACGGGAAGCTGGGTGTGCCCAATGGCCGTGAGGCCCTGCTGCCCACCCCGGGCCTGCCAGCCAGCACAGACACTCTCAGCTCCAGCGCCCACCTGCCCCCGCGGCTGGAGCCCCCGAGGGCCCATGACCCCCTGGCTGATGTCAGCAATGACCTGGGCCACAGTGGCCGGGACTGTGAGCACGGGGAGGCGGCTGCCCTGGCCTCCACTGCACGCCTCGGTCTGCCCCTGCTGACGGACTGTGCCCATCCCAGCAGGCCCCATGGCAGTCCCTCACGCAGCAAGCCCAAGAAGAAGTCCAAGAAGCACAAAGACAAGGAGAGGGCGGCTGAGGACAGGCCCCGGGCCCAGCCCCCAGACTGCGCGCCCGCTACCCATACCACCCTCGGAGCCCCAGCAGATGCCCCAGGTAGGTGTCCTGGCAGGATGGCGCTGCCAGGACTCCCAGCACTGGCCCTACGTCCCCCTCACCCTCATGGGTGTTGAGGGGGCTCAAGCTGTAGAGGCTGCGGGAGAGGGCTCTGTTGCCCGGGGCCCCAACAGACTCGCCCTGTGTGCCCGGCGCCTGGCCCACTACATTCCCGTACTGGTCCTCTCTGGAGTGCCCAGTGCCACATGCAGTCAATGTGCCAGGCCAGCACTGGAGGCCTGGGGCCCAGTGCCTGGTGGGGAGCTGAGGCCACGGAAGGGGCTAGCACATGCAGAGAGGAATGGGTCCAGGCCCCAGCTCTGACTGCAGGGAAACCTTGGGAGCTAGGGCCATGCTGAGGTCTGCTGGGGCTCAGGGAAGGCAGTGGGGGTCCAGGTGAGCCAGCCTTATTCAGAGAGAGGCAGTGAAGGTGCAGAGGGGCACATTCTGGTGGGAGAGGGATGACACTTGGACCTCCATAGGCCCCACGCAGCTGCTGTGGAGTGTACGTTTCTGCTGTGGGGACAGGGCCTGGCAGGCTGGGGTCGGGGAGTCAGGAGACCTGGGCAGCCCCGAACCCACAGCCCAGGCACTGGCACCGAGCAGCAGTAGCACCTGCCCAGCACTGTGGCCAGGAGCCTGTGCAGCTGCTCATTTACAGGAACCAGCAGAAGCAGTGGCCAGGGTGCAGCGGCTATTCCACTGCCACAGGGAGTGGGGCTGCTGTGGTCCCATGTGGCAGTGGCGGCCGATTGCACACAGCCACCTCTCTCTCAGTGCCAGCTGGCCCAAGGGAGCCCAGACGGTGTCACCTGCTGTGCTTTTGGGTTGTGTCTCCAGGAGGAGGCCGAGTCGGGGGCATTCCTGGGATGAGGATGGGAGCCCCTCTTTCATTATGGCTTTGCGGTGCTCAGAGGGCCATGCCCCTGTCTCCTGCTGTGGCTAGAGAGCAGGTCCTCACTGCTGCGGCTGGGTCTTACTGGGTAGGAAGGGGAAGTTTTGGGGTTGGGTCAGCCCTGCCTCGTGCTAGGCTTCCCAGCTCACATGGGATTGTATGGGGGGGCCAACGGGTAGAGGGCGACCTCACTCCCTGGGCAGCCTCTCTGACCAGGGCCACGTGCAGGGCAGGACTCCTGATTCCCAAGACATACCCTACACCCCACAGCCAGACCTGGGCCAGGATCTCTCTCAAATGGCAGAAGTGAGACCCTGGGCCCGGGTCCAGACTCCATAGACCACCATAGGCTGTGTCCTTCCTTGGATGCCCAGTGCTGAGATGCCAAGACAGGCCTAGGGACTCAAGGTGGCTTCCTCTCCCGCCTGGCGCACGTCGGCCCCTAGGCAGCTCATCCCCGGGCCCGGGGGCTGTCACCTCTACCATGGGTGAGAAAGTGCAAACCAGAGGTAGATGTCCCAAGCACCAAGGAAAGACAGTGGAGGCACCAGAAGCCAAGCCTGGTGCTGGTGGTCTATCTTACCCAGGGTCCCAAAGGTGCCATGTGTGCAGGGCATGTCCCAGCTGTCCCAAACGCCTGCCCAGGACAAGCAAGTAGAGAGACACGGGCTCTTAAGGGGACAGATGGGGAGAAGAGCTGCTGTGGGGGTGTTCCCCAGGGCCCAGAAGCAGGGACCAGCTTGGCCAGTGCTTAAGTGGGAGCAAGGGGCCACTGAGATTTGCCAAGGGCTGGACTTTGAAAGTCCTGCTAGCACCAGGTTGAGCCTTGATTTCCTGAGCCTTGATTTCCCCATCTGTCATCAGCAGGTGAAGATCTTGGGGGGTGTCAAAGGAGGTGATGTTGACCAGCCTGACACATGGCAGTTACCTGTTCTAGAATACCCGGGGAGGCCACTGTGTGGTGGGAGTGTGGGCTTGGCCGTCACAGCTGCACCTTGCCCATCACTTCCTTCCAGCTGGGACCAGGGTCAGACCCATTCAATACATGCCCAATGGGTTATGGCCCTGGGAAGGCCACAGCCTCTTAAAGACATCCCAGGTTAGGGTGGTGGCGATACTGAAGGCAGCGCCTGGCCCAAAGTCTGGAGTGTTACAACATTTGTGGGGAGTGAGCTCTGTCCATTTTTGGGAATTTGGCAGCAGAGATGCTGCCCGGGTGTTACACTGAGACAGAGGGCCCAGCAAACCGGAGATGGCAGATTCCTGCTCTTGGTGTAGTGCAGAGGGCCCCTGAAAATTCGCAGTAGGGCTAGGCACAGTGGGCTCTGCCTGTAATACCAGCACTTTGGGAGGCCAAGTTAAGAAGATTACTTAAGTCCAGGAGTTCAAGGCCAACCTGGGCAATATAGGTGAGCCTCCTCATCTCTACTAAAAAGAAAAAAAAAAAAAAATCACCAGGTGTGGTGGGTCATGCCTGTAATCCCAATGCTTTGAAAGGCCAGTTCAGAGGGTTGCTTGAGGTCAGGAGTTTGACACCAGCCTGGGCAACATAGTGAGACCCCATCTCTACAGAAAAAATGTTTAATTAGCTAGGGATGGTGGCATATGCCTCTAGTCCCACCTCCTTGGGAGGCTGAGGCAGGAAGATCACGTAAGCCCAGGAGTTCAAGATTGTAGTGAGCCACGATCATACCACTGCAACTCCAGAATGGGTAGCAGAGCAAGACCATGTCTCTAAAAAAGAAAAAAGTATACTGAGGACACTTCTGAAAGTGATAAAATCATCTCTCTGTTGGAAAGAAGGCCACCTGCAGGACGGCCTAGGAAATACACACTAAATGGTAGTTGTGGTCTGAGGGGATGAGGCAACTATGGTCCCAGTTAACGGGCACCTCAGTCCTCCTACCCCTCCTCCTCGATTTCCAGACCCTCAAGGGTGTTATCTGATGTGGCCGAGGCACCCCACCACGGGGCTGAGGAGCAGGACAGCTGCCTGAGGCCCCATCTAGCCATCAGCTGTGCAGCTTTGGACAGGCTCCTGAAGGGCTGAGCATCATCGTGGACACATCACTCATGGATGGCTGATTGGGGTGGCCCATGGGCTCCTCTGGCCGGCCCTGTCCTGGAGCTGCCTTGTGGAGCCTGCAGTTCAGTGTCCAGTGGAAGGATGGGATGATCTGGGTGCGGCGCACACCAAGGGCCTGGAACTTTGTCAGCAACAGAGGTGCAAGCCCTGCTGGCTGCGTCTTTGTCCTGCCCGATCAGAGACCGGGATGCCCCAGGGACTTGGGTCAGGCCAGGGGTCATTTGTTTTCAGCTTAGTGACCTTTGACATGCGGTCAGTAGAGGCAGCAAAGGCCTGGCCTTGGGGAAGCTCTGACCGGTTGTGCAGGCTTTGGCCCTGCAGTTCCCTGACCTGTCCGCTGTTTGACAAGAATGTGACTGCAGTGCTGATGCCTGGCCCGTCCGTGCCCTGCAGGGCGTTGCCCTAGACACGCAGGTGCACACTGAGCTCTCGCCACCTGGAGGGCATGCCCAGGTCCAGCAGCACACAGTTGCCAGATGGCAGGTGCTCAGGCCTTGCACCCGCCACACATTCACCCCGTCTGCCGTCTCTCCATGTCCCTCTAGCAGCAAAGCATGGATTTTTCACAAACGTCCCCACCCTGGCATGCCTCCTGTAGACCGGTGCCGCAGGTGCAGACTCAGAAGGTGTGCGTTTGCTCTCGTAGGTTTGAACGGAACCTGCAGCGTTTCCAGTGTTCCCACATCCACGTCGGAGACGCCCGACTACTTGCTGTGAGTGTTTGTCCGGGACCTGTAGACCAGGCCTCCCTTTTCTGGGTTCAGACCCCTCCCTCAGACTGCAGGTTAGCAGAGGCAGACCCACTGCAGATCTGGGTATGTGAATTCCCAACATGGCAGCCTCTTCTGGGCCAGGACGGCTGCCGCCTGTGTGGGGCTGGGTTCTTCCAGCGTCCACCCAGTGGCCCCTCCCTCCTGTCTCAGGAAATACGCAGCCATCTCCTCTTCGGAGCAGCGCCAGAGCTACAAGAACGACTTCAATGCCGAGTACAGCGAGTACCGCGACCTGCACGCCCGCATTGAACGCATCACACGGCGGTTCACGCAGCTTGACGCCCAGCTCCGGCAGCTCACCCAGGGCTCCGAGGAGTACGAGGTAGAGCCCTGCTGCCTACTGTGCTCCAGCTGGCGGGGTCCGGGGCTCACTTGGGCATATACCACCATGAGCCTCCTGGCCTGCTTGGTGGCCCCAGAGTCTGTCTCTTCCCCAGGCAACTCCTCCCCCTGGTGCTGCAAGCACCCCATGCAGCAACCCCATGGTTCTGGCCCGGCCCTGGGCCTTGTCATGGGAGTCCTCGAAGGCAGCCCAACTTGTCAGCCTCCTTTGTGGTGGGATAGCTGTGACCCACCTCCTTGGGTGGGGGGTGAGCCGGGGTCCATGGATCCCCACACATTTGAGCACCCAGGCTCCTCCCACAGCCCAGGACACAGGGCTCTTGGTACCTGTGCCACACCCTCATGAGACCCTACAGCTGAGCCCTGTCCAGCAGCACCCTGGGGCCCATCTGTGCTGCCATAACCACTGTAGTCGAGAGGTGGCAGGTCCCTGTGGTCCTGGGGACTAGGAGTCCTGTGGTCCCCTGGCTTGGGCTCACAGCTCCTTCAGCTGCCCTGTGTAGACAGAGAGTCTCCATCCTCAGCCACAGGCTTGGATGCAGCCTCCCCACCTGCCACCTTTCAAAATTGGTGACTTGGCTGCAGGGCTGGGTCCCGATTCATCAGATGCTGGGGCCTCTCTCCCTGGCCGAGGCCCCTTTTGGCTCCAAAAAAGATGATTCATGATGGGGTTCTAGGGGCATCTCTCCCTTCCTTTCCCTACAGCTTTGCCGCCCCCCACAACACACACACACTTCCTTGTCCTTCCAGGCCCCCACAACAGCGGTGCCTCACCTGCTTTTGCCCTCAAGAGGCCCTGCAGCCTTTCCTTCATGCCCCACCCACTCCGGAGCTCCTGCCGCTGCGGGCCCCTGGGGCGTTACTTGGCCTCGTACATGAGGCTGCCCCACTGTCCCAGCCCCCATCCTTCTCAAAGCATCTGGGGCCACTGAATTTGGGTTTCCTGCAGGTGGAAGCATACTTTGTTTTTTCAAAATTTTGTTTTTCTTCTAGACTACTCGAGGGCAGATTTTGCAGGAATATCGAAAAATCAAAAAGGTGAGTGTCTCTTGTGTTGGGATGGGCTCCAACTGACTGTGGGAGCCGGAGGGAGGAGAGTAGGCCTGGAGCAGCCTCCCCGCCCTGACGCACTCAGGAGTAGCTGAGCCTGTCCTGTGAGCTTTGGAGGCCCCCCTGGTGCGGCCCCCAGGCCCTTTTTGGCATCCTCCAAGGTGTGGGGGTAGAGCCTTTGGGTCTGAGTCCAAAGTCACCCCGCCACCCCCACCCAAGTCTTCAGCCATGGTGTCCTGGCGCAGCCACGCAAACTTAGGATGTGCGAGGGACCAGTCCCTACTCTGCCCTTGGACCACAATCCTCTTTGCTGGGCACTGAGCCCAGGTCTTTGGTGTGGGGGGCGCTGGCCTGCTCGAAGTGAGGAGCTCTGTCCTGAGTGTGACCGTGCTGTCCCGCAGACCAACACCAACTACAGCCAGGAGAAGCACCGCTGCGAGTACCTGCACAGTAAGCTGGCCCACATCAAGAGGCTCATCGCCGAGTACGACCAGCGGCAACTGCAGGCCTGGCCCTAGCCGCCCGCCCCGATGGCGGGATCTGGGAGGGTGGGGGGAGCAAAAGGCAGAGGAGAGAGGATTTATTTAAAAAAATAAACTCGAGGAAGATGCTCATCTGAACCAGCACTGCCGGCTTTCAGGGGAGCCCCTGCAGATGTCTGGTCCTGGTGGGGGGCTGCAGGCCCACCTTGGCCCTTCCCGCCTCCTGAATAGTCCCTGCCTGTGACGGGCTCCCCAGGAAGCCCAGCGCCGCCTTCCTGGCTGCAGCCCCGGTTCAGCCTCCTCTCTTGCCAGAAGACTCCTAGGCCCTCGGGGTGGCGCGCCTGCCTTTTCTAGTTTTATACAAAGACAGCCACTTTTAGCTACTGCTAATGAGACTCGAGTCTATTTTTGTACAAAAGAGAAGCAGAATCTTTTTTCTAAACCTGTGCCTCCCTCTTCTCGGACACCCAGGGTCTAGTCGCTGCCCTGGGTCCTGCCTGCAGTATTACAGAGGCTGTCGGAAGGTGCAGCCGAGCCCTGAGGGCAGGGACCCAGCAGGTGGCCTCTGCTGGTCTCTGGCTCTGTGTTCAGGCACCCTAGTCCCTGGTCTCTCCTCCTCAGACAGGGTCTCTGCTCCAGCAAGCAAACGGGGTGGCCGGGGTGGCTATTTTGAGAACTCCAGCTGGTGCCCCCAGGCAGCTGCTCAGAGCCAAGGGGGGCCAGAGAGCTCTCGGCTCCCTCAGGCCTGCCCTATATTGGGCCCCCAGCTGTCGGGGGACGTGGCGTTTCTGTGCTCCCAGTTGAGACTGGCACAGTGGCGTCAGATTGTACTCTGCGACATCCTCTGGCTCCCATTTGCTGCTGCTGCCCATTCCACACAACCCTGTGGTCTCCACGCTGCTGGCCTCCCTCCGTCCCTCTGTCCACTATGGGTCCTGGGGTCGTCTTAGCAGAGCCACCGCCAAGGTTTGCACTCAGGGAGGGGCTGATGGAGGACTGGGCACCAGTGGAGGCCCCAGGGACCCATGGGCAGAGCTAGGGAGCCAGGAGAATGGATCTGCCCGCTCTGAGGATGCAGGCTCTGCAGATACCCCAATTGCTGCTTTGTTTCTGTGCCTAGTCTAGCGTCCCTCAAAGCATGGGGGGCCACACAAGTGTGTGTGCGTGCGTGTGCGTGTGTTGGGACCCCCCAGGGCATGGTGGGGTCTGAGGTGTGTGTTCCCATTTAGGGCCAAATGAAGCCATGACTTCGGAAGGTGGTGGTGGGGGTGGCTGTGATCAGGGCCCAGGGATCACATGGGGGTCACTGCTGCCATCAACAGTCAGGCAGGGAGAGCAGAAATGCAAAAATACAGATGTGTCTATTTTTCTAAACCGGGGGGTGGGGGAGTTCCTCCTGATGGCTTCCAAAGAGCTGACTGCGGAGGGCCTACAGTGCGTCCCACCCCTGTCCGAGTCTCTCTCCTTTGGGACCCCCAGGTTCCCAGAGCTCTGAGGAAATTTCCTTCATGTTTCAATAGCTGCTGCTGTTTTTGTCTTCTGGGCCAGGCTGGGGAAGGGCCGACCAGGCTCGAGGGAACCTGAGTGGGCAGGACCCCACTGTGTCGCTCACAGGCAGCCTGCAGACACGGGTGAGGCGGGACGATTTCAGGAGGTCCCAGCGAGGGACTGCCCACCCCTCTGCCCTGGGAACCAGTCCAAGGGGCTGTCAGTTCCATTTGCCTTTTTGTTGTTGTTGTTTTTGTTATTTGTTCTCCTTTTAAGGAATTATGAAGCTAAGAGAAGTTTTGTTTTGGGGGTTGGTGGACAAAGTTCTAGCTGATTAAATATGGTCTAACTTATTGATACTATTTTTTTTCTTTTAATGTTGTACTGTGGAGAAAAACTATTTTGAGCCATGGGGTTGGTGTTTACAAGAACTTTCCACTTTTGCCAAAATGTTACAATTGAAAGGCATCTGCGTCTTCAGTTTCCTAATATTTTCTTAAAAGATCTAGTGTCCTTTTTGTACACTAAACAGGTGAATGCTGACTTTTTTCAGTCCTACAATAAATTTCACTGAACTGAACCTGGCAGCCCAGGCTGCCTGGCTGGTGTGTGTGGTGTGTGGGGGTGTGTGTGTGGTGTATCTGTATGTGTGGGTGTATCCATGTATGGTGTGTGGGTGTATCCATGTATGGTGTGTGGGTGTGTGTGGGTGTGGTGTATCTGTGTGGTGTGTGTTGGGGTATGTGGTGTATCTGTGTAGGGGTGTGGTGTGTGTTAGGGTGTGGGTGTGGTATGTTGGGTATGTTGGGGTGGGTGTGTGGTGTGGATGTGTGTTGGGATGTGTATCTGGATGTGATGTTACGGTGTTGATGTGTGTTGGGGGGTATGGTGTATCTGAGTTGTGTGTATTGTATCTGGGGGGGGTGTGGGTATGGTGTATCTATGTGGGTGTATGGTGGGTATGTGGTGGGTGTGAGTGTGGTGTATCTGGGTGTGGGGTGGTGTGTGTGGTGTGGATGTGTGTGGTGAGTGAGTAGTGTGTGTGGTGTGTGGATGTGTGGTGGGTGGGTAGTGTGTGGATGTGTGGTGTGTTGGGTGTGGGGTTATGTGGGGATTTGGTGGGTGGGTAGTGTGTGGGTGTGTGGTGTGGGTGTGGGCTTATGTGGATGTGTGTGTGGGGGGTGTGTGTGGCTGTGTGGTGGGTGGGTAGTATGTGGGTATGTTGTGTTGGGTGTGGGGTGTGTGTGGGTGTGTGTGGGTGGGTAGTGTGTGGGTATGTTGTGTTGGGTGTGGGGTGTGTGTGGGTGGGTAGTGTGTGGGTGTTGGGTGTGGGGGTGTATGGGTGTGGTGTGTTTTGGGGGTATGTTTGGGGGTGTCACCCTGGTTTCTGTGTTGGCTGTCCCTGCCCTGTGGTTGGGGGTGGGCTGGCATCGGGAGGTGATGTGGCCTGGGGCCACCACGTTGATGAGAAAGGGTTGTTCAGGGGCTCCAGCTGGAACCAGACGAGAAGGCAAAGTTTGCAGCCTCCCTGAGCCATTGCCCAAGAATGAGGACCGAAGCAGAGGGCCCTGTATGTGAGGGGAGCAGGCTGGGCCAGGGCGGGGGGGATGGGGAGCCACAGCAGGCATGTGCGCACAGCGGCACCCTCCAGTGTGGACAGGGTGGGCTGAACCCGGCACTGGGATTCCTTGGCCTCCTGCGGCACGAGAGGCCACAGGAGTGCAGCGGGGATTGGGGGAACCAGCTGTGACTGTCACCCTCTGATGAAAGCAGCAGGCAACGGTAATACGTGATTACCTGTTCTTCCTGGACTGGGGCGGGGGCATCCTGTGCCACCAAAGGGGATGGGGATGATAAGGCGGGAGCAGCTGTGCAGGTGGAACCGGAGCTGGAGGACGTGGAGAACATAATGCTCATCCTGCTGGCCGAGGACAAGCAAGGGCCATTTAGTAAGGGATGACACGAATAACAGGACCGTGGGCAAAGGTCCTGGGCCTGCAGCTGTGGGGCCTGGCCTCCCTGCTGGCCTGCGTCCTTGGCCCAAGTTCTGAGGCCACCCAGACATCTGAGGGGCGAGGGAGGGGAAGTCATGCGACCCAGCAGGGCAGCGTGTATCCTGCTCCCAGCACAGCCTGGCCACGGCGTCCTCCCAAGGTAACATCTCTGTCCCCGTATCCCAGGCCCAATACCAACCTCCTCCAGCTCTCGGTCCTGCCTCCCCCGGCCCTCCCTGCCTCCCCCAGCCCTCTACTGCCAGCCCTAAGCTGACTGTCCAGCAGTACTCTGGCCGTGACCCCCACGGCCCACAGAGGCCACAGTTGGTCCCCTGACCTCGCTGAGTCATGGATGCCATCAGTCCAGTCCCCCCGCGTGCCCAGGAGAGCCCTCACCCTCATGGCCCGGGCACCGTGGTGGAGAGGAGCTCCGGGCTGCCAACCCCTCTCCTGCTGCCTGCCAGGGTCCCGGATTGTCCTCTTTCCACCGGCACCCCATTCCTGCAGCCCCTCCTGTACCAAGCTCCATCTGGGCTCTGCAACACAGCAGTGACCGAGAGAGCCTCATCCTGGCCTTAGGGAGCCCACAGTTTGCTGGGAGACTGGCGCACCTCACAACCCACCTCAGACGGCACACCCAGGCCTGACTGGAGGGGCCAGACCCCCTCCCTTGACCTTGTCAACTGCCGGGAGTGGAAACAGCCTCGTCCCTATGCCACATCCTGCCAGCTGCCTCATGGATGGGTCTTGGGACCTTCCTCGTGTCTCTCAACTTCACAGGTTCCTGAATCCCATGTTGCCTTGAGGCACAAGCTCCCCGATTCTCTGATCTTCCAATACCAACAGGATGTCCAACAGTTCCATTCCCAGAGATGGTATCGGACTCCACAAGTTGCGGGGCTCAGTCCCACAGGGCTGCACCTGTGTCAGATGCCACCTGTTCTTCCGGCAAGCCAGCGATAAAGTGCGAGCTCCCAAGACCCCCACCTCAGGTTTGATAATTTGCTACAACAGCTCATAGAACTCTGGAAAATGCTCACGGCCAAATGGAGGAGGCACACAGGGCAAGGTATGGGGTGGGCCATGGGGCTTCTATGCCTTTTCCAGGAATGCCACCCTCCCAGCACCTCCATATTTCCCCCTAAACCCCATTGTTTGTTTTTTTTGAGACAGTCTTACTCTGTTGCCCAGGCTGGAGTGCAGTGCTGCAACATGGCTCACTGCAGCCTCCACCTCTTGAGCTCAGGTGATCCACCCACTTGAGCATCCCAGGTAGCTGGGACCACAAGCTGGCACCACCAAGCCCAGCTAATTTTTTTTTGTTGTTATTGAGATAGGTTTCCCCATATTGCCCAGGCTGGTCTCAGAACTCCCAGGCTCAAGTGATCCACCCGTCTCGGCCTCCCAAAGTGCTGGGATTACAGGCGTGAGCCACTGCACCTGGCCGACTGCCTATTTTTCTGCTTAGGTTCTATGAAGAATGTGTAGCAATGAGATGGAACACTGCGTAGATTTAAAGGGAGCAGACTGGGTGGGGGAGGGGAGCCAGCCTGCCCAGACTTCCTGGTAACATTCCTTTCTCCAGGGTATGGGCATGACCCTCCCGGAATGAGGGTCTTCAAGGGAGCAAGCAGAAGGTGACCTTTGCTGGCTTTGCGGCTTGTTTTAGGGGAGAAGGGCTCCAGTTTCTCTGACCTGGCTTGGGGAAGAGGAATTCTGGTTTCTATGGTTTCCAGGGCAGAAAGGGGCTAGAGGCAGGAGGGCAGGAGAAGGTCAGAGAGACTCACTTCTGAGCTTTCCGATGTCCTGCTCAAAGCGCTCAGCAGGCCAAGGCCCCATACTTGGGGGAGTTGTGTGTTCTGAACCCCAACCATCTCATGCATAGATGTGATTGACTAAACCATTGGTCGCTGGTGATTGAGTTGAATGTCTAACCAAGAACCAGGGACAAATACTGAATATTCTTTCACATTCCCTATCCCCAGCCCTCAGGGTCTTCCCTAGTCCCCAAACTGACTCCCACGTGGCTACTTTTTCATCTGCCACTTTTTCAAGCTCAGGTGACTTGGCCTGTAGTTTTCTTTCAGCGAACTCCTCTTCATGTCTCAAAACCCTTGCCAGCAGCCCCCTCATCTGGGAAGCCTGCCTTGGAGGGGCCCTGCCTGTGAGTTCCCTCCCACTGGGGAGGGGGGTGTCCCAGTCCACTTCCAACTCCCACAGACTGGGGCCCCTTCAGGGTGAGGCTTGGAACCAGAGTCTTAAGCCCCCATTCTCCAAGGTCAGGCCCTGTCTCCTGCAAACGTTCCCAACTATCCACCTTTTGGGCCAGCTCCAGTGGTGGAAACTTTCCGGCCTCCAGGCGCTTGTTTTGGAAAGTTCCTGGGGGAGCTGCCCCGGCCTGCCCGCTGGGTTCCCACGCTCCCTTATCAGCACACATGAGGGGGGTGCCCTGCTGTGTAGGCCTCATTCTTTCCTTGCCTCAGCCCTGCCCTTGTGCCTGTCCCCTCCTCTTCCCAGTGAACAGCCTCCCCCTCCGGCCCACCCCTGCCAAGCCCTCCTGCTGCAGGTGGGGAAACAGGCCAAACAGGCCCCATGGGACAGAGTGGTTTCGTCCCCCCTGAGATGGATGGGGGTGGGCACAGGGAGCCAGGAGATGGGAGTGCCCGGTAGGTGCTGCTGCCCATGAAGTGGAGTAGGTGGCAGCGTGGCTCCGAGGAGATTCTGGCTTTGGAGTTCTGGTCCTCTGCCTCAGTTTCCCCTGCAGTCTCTCTGACCCAGAACCTCTACCCCCTCCCCCAGAGGCCCAGCTTCCCTGCCCAGCTCCACCCCGACTTGTGGCCCAGCTCCTGCTTATCCTCATTGTCCTCTTGTAAAGGCGGAATAGGCAGCCATGTGCCCCTGAGGACTGCGGAGCGAGCGAGGTGAACCAGTACTCGCAGCGCTCGAGGACGCCCGGCTACTTCCGCCAGACGGGGACCCGATGGCTGCGGTGGCTCCGGGTTGCGCCTCGAACCCGGGTCTGCAGACGATGGGCCCCTCCCCCCAGGCGCGGGAGAGGCGGGGGCGGCGGTGGGGGCGGAGCGGGGGCGGGGCCGGAGCGCTTTTCTCCGGAGGTCGCGCGCCCGAGAGCCCGCGCTGTCCGCTGCCGCTGCCTGAGCTGACTCCGCGCCGGTGAGTGTGGTTCGGGGTGGGGGCGGCCTCCCTGGGGACCCAGGCCGCCTTGGCCCGGCCACTTAGTGTCCCCGCTGACCCCTTGCTCACCCCGGGCCCCCAGCCCGCTGCGATGGAGGCCGCCGCCCAGTTCTTCGTCGAGAGCCCGGACGTGGTCTACGGCCCCGAGGCTATCGAGGCGCAATACGAGTACCGGACGACGCGCGTCAGCCGCGAGGGCGGCGTCCTCAAGGTGGCCCAGGGAGCCGGGGGAGGGGGCGTGCTGGAGAGTGGGGCGGCGGGAGGAGATTGTTCAATGTCTCCAACCCGTCTCTGCCGCGAGGGGAGAAGGGGATGGGACCCGGGGTTCACTGCGCGGCTTGTCTCCAGGTGCACCCCACGACGATGCGCTTCACCTTCCGGACCGCCCGGCAGGTGCCCCGGCTCGGGGTCATGCTTGTCGGCTGGGGCGGGAACAACGGCTCCACGCTCACCGCCGCGGTGCTGGCCAACCGACTGCGTCTGTCCTGGCCCACGCGCAGCGGCCGCAAGGTGGGGGCGGGAGGGGCGCGGTGAGCAGGGGGGCTTGGTGGGAGTCCTTGCGGGCGGGGGCAGGAGCCTGCAGGCCGCAGGGGGCTGCAGGGGGCGGGGTTCTGCAGGGCCGGCTGGGGACTGCAGGGGGCGGTGTTCTGCGGGGTACGGGGCTG